GAACCCGTTAGAAAACGCATTTGTAAACATTCCGTACGTGATACTTTTGAATTTATCGAGCACATAAAAGAAGTGAATGTAAGTGACAAAATTATGCTATCTCTGGATTTCGAATCATTATTCACTAATGTTCCACTCACAGAGACCATTAATTCTACCTGCAAGTACATAAATAATAAGGAGATAAACATTGGAATGCCGGATGTTTATTCGAAGGAACTATTACTAAGTTGCACTCGCAATGTACAGTTCACACTCAACGACGTGCTTTATAGACAGAAAGATGGTATAGCAATGGGATCCCCATTTGGTTCCTTACTGGCAGATTACTTCATGGTCAGTTTAGAAAACAACCAACTCAAAACAATTATAGAAAACCTCCACTTGTATAAAAGGTACGTGGATGATACCTTTAACATTTATGACAACAAATGTGACATAAGTAATCTCCTAAAGACATTTAATAATTGTCACCCATCAATAAAATTCACACTTGAAGTTGAAAACAAACAAAATATTTACTTTATTGATGTGCAAATGACAAGAAAGCAAGACGGTACTTTAAAAAGATCTATTTACAGGAAACCGATGTGGAATGGCCAACTAACAAATTTCCACAGTTGGGTTCCCATCAGCCGAAAAAGAAACTTAATAATAACACTCGATACAAGAATACGAAGAATCTGTAGTCTCGAGGTCGAAGATGAAGAATTGGGGCTTTTAAAGGAGATATTTATCAAAAACGGGTATCCTTCAATATCCATTGATAAAAACATGAAGCCAAAAACTCCAAAAACACAAATAATTACAGTAGACAAGAAAACATTATACATGAACATCGACTTCTAAGGTGATAGAGCCACATATATCTTGAAGAGGAGAATTCCGGATTCCTTAAAAAGAACATTCTTCGCAAAAACATTGCGAATATTATTCTCCAGCCAATCATTGTTCACCAATATTCTGAAAGATAAATTATCGCATCTGACCAACTCAATGTACATTTACCAATTTACCTGCTCTTGTGGAGCTAAGTATATAGGTCGTTTGATGCATACTTTATCCAAAAGAGTTGAAGAACGTTGTCTGGCGTGGCTAAAAAGAGGAGGCAACGGCTCATTAAGAAGTTCTACAATCGAACACCTTGTGAACACAGGTCACTCAATCAATCCAGATTCTACGTTCGAAGTCATCTACAAGGTAAGTAAAAGTCTTCCTAAGTCAATTAGACTGCATTTTCTTTGCATTACCGAAGCAATAGCCATACATCTGGAAAAACCAGAATTGTGTGTGCAAAAAGAGACTGGTACAACCTCTTCTTCTACCTTGGTCTTAATGTATATAAATTTTTCTCTCTTTTCCATACTTTTGTTCCTTAACAGCTATCTGCTTCACCTTCCATCTTCCCTTTAAATCTTCTACCCCTAACTAGTTTGTTTTTATTTCCATGACTCTTCCGATTACATTTCATCTCTATTTCAACATTTTATCTTATTATTCTGAGTCATCCTTTCCCAATGATAATTTCCCTATCTTTTTCAATACCTATGTTTATTTAACCTCATTGTCACTATGTATAACAGAAGTTTCTTATCAGTATTATTATCATACCATAAAAATAAGTATAGATATTCACGATTGTACAGCTTTGAAAATGATTTCCAGATTTCTCTTTTTATTATTACTACATTCTTTTCAGCATTAATCTGATTCGTTTTCATATTTTTTAATTAGCGTCATAATGGGCAATCAACGTTTTTACTTTTTATCTACAAACCATTTTTCAGCATAGTCAACGTTGCGCTATAGTATTGTCTTGGTATAAAATAACGTACAGAAATGGTGTGACACTACAAGATCGACATTAGTGAAAGTTAAGGATATGTTGCCAAAGGAAGAACAACAAAGTATTGATTATGAGATCAACTGTCATGACTGTGATGCAGCTTATGTGGGAGAAACATTCAGACAACTGAATGTAAGGTTGAAGGAACACAAACAGTGTTTGGAAATGTTCTCATATCCTCGGTTGACTTAAAGAAACTTGAGAATAAGTCTGTGATAGCTTTACATGCGTTAGAAACAGGACACAAGATTAATTTTGAAGGGAACAAAACACTTCAGAAAAGTTTTACCACTGATAAATAAAGATTGAAAGCAGAAGTGCTGTATATATGGGCGTACACGAATCGCTAAACAGAAAGGATGGTATTCAACAAGCAACTACTTGGCAAATATTCGTTAACAAGTAATTGGACACTTTCTTCATTCAACCTGTTTATTTCACATGCATCGTTATTTTTGACTGAATTCAATGAGTTTTTAGCAATACAATTATGTATTTGATGATTCTCATTTTAACTTGCATTTCAACGATTCAAAAACAACTTTTTCAACGTTCAACTTGCCTTTTTTTAAATTTTTCCTTCATATAAAAACATATTAACAACGAATATTATTCATTAATAACTCATGCATACACACATACAGACAGACAGAAAATTCGTTTCAGTCATTTATTTTCACGTCGTAAACCTTTCACATGATTCCCATGTAACTGACTCGTGTTATCCTATTTACTAAATATCAACATCCCAAATATGATTGGATTAAGCACAGTATAGATTTGATTTGATTTGATTATTACAACGCTGTATATTTCTTTGATGATTTTAATATTGATTATTCTACCTTAAAGAAGTCCAGACAAGTTAGCTGGACGAAACGTTAGAATTATTTTTAAAATTCAATAACTGAGATTATTTCAAATATAATTTTCATATAAAATGTCTTCTCTATACTTGGCGCCCAATTTCTGTCAAACTATTCGTTCTAATCTTGACGAATATTCGTACCGTATTGAAAGCGTTTATTGACTAAAATGTAATTTTGCCATTTTAATAAAACCGAGTAATGATCATTAGTATTAATATTTAAAGAAAGTTATAACATATTTACCTAACTCTAAACATTTGAATAAATGAATAATAAGAGGCTTTAACAAATGATAAGTTAGTACAAAACAACTGTATTTCTATTTATTTTAAATCAACTTTACATATGACATCAGTTGATGGGAGAAACTATCTTTAATTCGAAAATGCATTCTGCATACAATAAATAGTTTGAAGTATGTAATGATCACATTTTATGATTGATAAGTCTCCTAATTGGACGCTAGTTTTGGTTCCTAAGCTCTTCCAGTAACCTCCAGGCTAAATCTACACAGCAACTTGAACACGAGAGAAGAGGCACGAAATACTGAAGAAAACGCTTTCTCCAAACGTTCGTTTATGTACAGAAAATCTGGGGTTTTTATAGTAGTTTGGATGTCTTTGGGTTTCCGGAAAATTCTGGAATGCTACTAAACATAGTAGCAGTATAAGTAATCATCCAAACAGACACTTGACATGTGACCTCTCACTTTCTAGATGTTTCTGGCAAAACTTCTAGTAAACGCTGATTGGATGAGATGCTTCTCATTGTTTTCAGAACCTTTCTTGGCTTTTTTACGAATAGTTTTCTGGATCTTTCCAACAATCATCAGAATAGCATTTGATTTTTTAAAATGCTCTATCTTTGATTACAATTAAGATGTCTGGGCACAAAATTTCAGTTTCATCTATCTTACTTGTGTATGTCTTATATTTTAGTATTAAGGATCATGACAGATTCTATGCATTCCAAAGACGTTTTGGAGTGTATTTTGCGATTAAATAGTACGTACGCGATTCAAAGGTGAAATAGGAGATGAAAATATTGGATATTCCATTGGCCTGAGATTTAAGTAGTTTACTAAGTAGTTAAGTGATTTGAACAGAAAATACTTAACAAGAAAAAATCATAAATGATGAATACAAATAAAACATTGAATTAGAAAATACAGAAGAATAGTCATTCTTTTGAAAGCATGACATTATAGAGACAAAAATATCTTTAAGAGATGAGAAAGCAGACAGTTTCAATTGAACACGTATGAACAGTAATTTGAAACTAATCAGATCTTGACTTTTCTTAAAAGGTTAGTTTGGGTGAAAATTTAGAATAAGTTTAGTAAATTGCGTGATATATGAAGAAAAATAAATTCCATACCATCATTCGTGAATATCGCTGGAAGCTTATACACACCATATTGAGCATAAGTGAATTTGGAGATAAAACAATGTGAAGTCACCTTTAGGTAGTGATTTTTAGAAACCACAAAGCACTAAAAAATTGTTTATTAAAGTTTCAATGAAATACGATAAAGCTACAATGAATCAAGTGTTTTCTGACTTGTTTTTATCAACAACTTTCCAGCTAATTCCAACCATTGATTAGAACTATTTTACAATACAACAGGATTAAAATGTAGTTTTCCCCGTAATACGAAGCTGAGAAAATAATGTGTACAACTCTGAGTTTATCAACGGAAAATAGGTCAACCATATAACAGAATTTCAGTCAAAAATCTGGTAATTTTGTGTATTATTTAGTAATTTTTTGTCCCATTTTGTCATGTATAGCCTCAAATGAAAAAAAATACTGTTAAAGTAAACAGCATATATTTGATTATCTTACACGAAATCGACTGTTTTCAGGATTTCAAGTCCAGACCTTCGTACACTGTCATCTTACCGTCTGATATGAAATAGTGATCTAGAGGTTAAGCGTCCGTGCGCGAGACTGCAGCCTCTGAGTTCGAATCATGCGAGTGGGACTGTGGATGCGCACTGTTGAGAACGAAACGGTCATCCAGTGCTTCCGGGTTTTCGCTCGTGCTCTAACATCAATCGGTTCATGATCTCAATCAAAAATCGTAAAACGTTTTACCAACTAATGGATAATAGTCAAAAAAAACTATTTGTAAGTAAATGTCTCATTCATAGGAATAAACCATTACTGTATGCCTATTGATTCACTTCATTGCTTTGACTAATCTAAAAACAAAGCTTCAAATCAACCAGTAATCTTAAATACGTGACATAAATGAATATAATCCTTGTTAAACATTTTCTTACCTTGTAAGCATACTGATCCACATTTGATTGGATCACAAACACATCTTTGTGATGGACCATAACTAACCCAACAATCAATATGTTGACTACATGATTTATTTGGACAATTTATTGAATCTAATTTATTGAAATGTTTTAAATGACATCGACCAAATGGAAGATTTGTGAATTTTTCTTTGTACACCAATGAATCACATGATGTGATAATAATAATAAATAAAATAATTAAACTTTGAATAATAAAGAATGTTAAATGTTGAATAGTTAGATCCATTTCTTATCAACTTTTGTTTGAATGTATAAGATTTCTTCAACTGGTTAGTTTGAATAAATGACCAAATTAAATCAAATAGATTATTGTATTTTTTTAAATAAATTTAGTTTAACATTCATTCAAACTAGATTGGTTAAACATTTACAGCCAATCAATGTAAGATTGTGTCTAGCTTCAATAGGACTGTTTGTTTTCTCTAGCTTGCTAAAACTGTTTCTACCAGTTTTCCTTTATAGTTTCATTGACTTACTGAGATGATCTATTGAGAAGAAATGTGAACGAAAATGTGAATAGGAAATGTTGCAAAACGAAAAACAATTTCATATCAGTATAAGGTTATGGAGAATGTTGAGTTCTAATAGAGATCATGAACTGATCAATGTTGGAACACCAATGAGAACCTAGAAGCATTGGATGGTCGTTTTCTTCTTCAGCAATGCATATCCACAATTTCGTGCGCGGATTTCGAACCCAGAGCCTTCGGTCTCACACGTGAACTCTTGATTTGTCTTATTTTCGCTTGAATCTAATTTAAAAATTAAATGATTGGCTCTGTATACTTGCCATTAACAATCCTTTTTTCGAAAGATTTCTATTCAATATCAAACTGGAGGTTACATTGTAATACTTTTAAAACTGCCGATTGAACTTACACAGTTACTTGTCAAAATTACTTTTTTCGAACATTTGCTTTCAATGGTTCCTATTTTATGTCATTGGAATTAATAGTACCTTATATCTTGATTTCACATTCATTTCAGAAAAACCATGGATACCATGTTATACATAGATAAAGGAATATAAAACTAACAGTGGTATTTCTAAGGATCAATGAGGTACCGTAAGAAAAGTATACTACACAGCTATCATAGATTACAAACAATTTATCAGAAAATTCAAACAGATAAAATGTTTGCCATTATTTAAACAATTAAAGGTTATTGAAACAGGACAGGAAGTCAGATTTGATTCAAGGCCAATATTATTCATTCTTGTTATCTACAGTACCTAAATATTAATTTAAAACAACTGATAGATTTTCAGAAAAACTGAATACTTGTGTTTATACTGACATTTGACATGAGTAAAGTCTAGTTACGTAAATTGAAGTTGAGTGTACCTGACTTATTGCCTAATCAGTCGTTTTATGTTTATTAAGACGTTCCTTTTTCATGTAAACCAAACAGGCTGATCTAATTTTGATGGAGTTTTATTCTCTGAGCTGTATGGTTTGTTCGTGGAGCCTTCATCGTTCTTGTGAACGACACCATCAGCAGAGACTTAAGGTAGAACTGAAGTGTTCGAATTCCTTTACATGTGGTTCACAGCTTGTCCACGACTAGCGGCTCCACGACCAAACCATCCAGCTCAGAGAACAAAACACCATCAAAATCATCCACATGAGCTACAAATCTTCTCCACCAGGCTGATCTTAATTCTACAATTGTTTAGATATGATTTATTTTGAAATTTGCAAAACTTTCAGTTTATATTGAGATGTAAAATTTGTTGCATAATAACATATTTTACGAAATATATCCTAAAGTAACACCATGGCAAGTTATAGTCTTGGATTGGTTGGAATATATTTGGATAGTAGTAATAAAATCGTGAAATGTGACATCATCTGTTTGATCTCATTCATAAAATAATGAATAAACATTTGGTTGAACAAGTGTGAAAGTATTGGATTAAAGAAATTTTAAAGATACAGAAATATATCATACAGCATAGTAATAAATTTAGTTTATTATCATTACACGTTTTTTATTTGTACACGATTGATCCGATCAAGTTTAATAAGTCAATATTGACAATGCATCAAAAGTCTGTCAAAGTAAGTAGTTAGTGAGATTGCTAGTGAAACTAAGAAAGCTAAAGGCAAAAGGACAATATATCACAAACAATTTCATAGGAATGATGAAGAGTGAGTTTAATTTATCCTGAATTAGTGATTATTGTTATCGTTAAATCTACAATAAAAGCTATGAAATGAACTCGTTCAATTCATGAAGAACGCAACAAAATGTTTTCTTTTTGATGGAGATTCACTTTCCACTAATCAGTATTCTGATGGTTAATCAATGATTAATGTGAATATTTGAAATATTCTTCCAAGTCAAACTATTGCAAATATTTATACTTCCAAATTTTAGTTGTCTGTCATTTGATATTCCGATCAAGGTTTAGTGTCTGTTTGCTGATCTTGAACGTAAACAATGTAACCATCTATTTAAAACACGTAACGTGAATAATGTAATGATCTAAAAATAATTGATTTATACCTGCCAAAAATGCTGAACTAACTAGTCCCACAATTTTTATAAGTTGTAAAACCATTTCCGGGATTTAAATAGATTACAGATTACCAGGGTAGAATAATGTTGGAAAAAATGGTTTTGAACACATAAAGAAGGCTGAAGTTATCTAGCGTCTAGGGTTTCTACATACATAATAAGTTCCTGACAATTTTGGTATCCATTTTGGAAGACTGTTTTATGATCAATCGTGTAGTATGTTTGTAGAATGTACCGTACCTAAGAGAAATGTAAACTTTTATCCACTGTTATGTATTATATGAAGAGCGAATCAGAAGTAGCGTAATAAGAGTACCATTTAATGGTAATCAGAAGTGATCCAGAGAACAAGTGGATTGTATTGGCTAAGAAATAGATAAACCTTCTAAGGATTATGAATGACTATTCGTGTATTTTATTCGACAGACCAATGCAGTTTCTCCCTCAAGTAGTGGAGCTGGCTTATTCAGAAGTTCCTCAGAATGTCCCACCCGTCTGTTCTTCTGTTCTTGAATCTCGACGATTGTCTTGCTTTCTTTCTTCTTGACCGATCTCTCTGGCTTACTACATTTCCCTGTCATTTTATTCGTTCTGTCATATAGTTATCTCACACTTTCTTCTCTTGAAGCTTTTACCGCTGTGTTAGACATTTGTAATGCTGTTTCTTTAGTTTTCCAGCGCTTCTTTGGCTTCGCTGTCATCTTGATCACAACCAGGTAGTGATCTAAAGCTATGTCAGTTCGTTACCTGGTACTCACGTCTTTCATTGCCCTTCTGAATTTTTATTGATACAAATATGATCCATCTGCTTTTCGTAGCGTGATCCGGTGAGACGCATGTAGCTGCGTGTATGCGTTCATGTGGAAATATTGTGCAACCGCTTCGACTTTGGCGTTCAGGTTTTTCCTCAGGATGATGAGATTCTTTCTTGGGCACTTTGCTATGATTGACTGCAGCGTCGAGTGGAACTGATCTTCATCGTCGTCGTTGCTATCATTTGTGGGTGTATAACACTGGAAAACATCCATTGTGATTCCCTCCTTCTTTATTTTGAAGGATAATTTGATGATACTGGATCGATAAGATTCGCACAAAGTAAGTCCATTTCGTGCCACTTTGGACAGCATCAGATCAACTCCTTGTGTGTAGGGCATTTTCCTCTTCGTGAAAAGAGTACAGCAGCATCTCTCTCGTATCTAAACTTTGCTGTCCAACTTGGGTTCAATGGATTTTGCTAGGTTGTATGTCCTCATTTCCGTTGGTATTTGACTGGTCCCCCTGGTCTTGGTCATGCAATGTATATTTTAAACTTATCAAGTTAACTCAAGGGATTACAAAATGTATTTCATGTGTTAGTAATGTTACTACATTTCAGTGTCATAAATTATTAATTTAGTGTAACAGAGTGAACTACTTTCACAAATATCAAAAAATAGACATTCGCTTACCATGGGATTTCGCTAAATAAGTTACTCAATTGTGTTTCATATCATTTACTCTCAATCCACTTTTTTTGAGAACGTACATTTGTTTTGATGGAAAGAATAGTTAATATTCGATTGATTTACTTATTGTTAGTTTTGTTCAACATTAATTCCCTTCTAATTCAATGTGATGATCATTTACTGTAGTATTAGTTTTCTTTTGTCGTATGATATTTTATTCGGTATAATATACGATATTCTTGTATTCCATTGACATGTATTATGCTCAGTATGTGATTTGTATTTTTATATATGTAATTTCATCCTAATTATTAATCAAAATCGATGTACAATCAATATATAAATCAGTGTATTTTAGACTAGGGTTGTCGTCGACATTGTCTGGAATAACATTCCTTTCACTAGTCTACTGTTTTCTTATTGTGACTTGTAAGGGTTCTAGCGTTCTAGTGCTCAACTTATACGTAGTATATCAAGATCATGAACATCTAGATATATCAACATTACATTAACATAATTCTTACATCATATAATCTGTGAAAAACCAGTTGAATGTGTCTAAATTTGCATTTCAATTCATGACTATTTATCATCATTTCTCTTTCATATTCATCAAAAGATTCATTTCATTAGCGAAAGAGGAAACAATAATTTGTATACATCAAACGAGTGGTAAGTTATTTATTTATATTCCACTTATAATCAATCGAAATGTTTAATCAAGTGTAAAAATGTGTATTAGGGTTATTCTTTTTATCAATTTCTATTTAATGTAATGAGCCATACAAAAGTTTTATTTTCTACGTTTATTTGTCGTAACAAAAACACACAATAAGGAAGTTGTATGGAAACGTTAAAATTTGCTAGAAAAATTCACTGATTTACCTATCAGTTTGTTATTTTAAAAATCTGGAAGCACTGGACGGACGTTTCGTCCTAGTATGGGACTCTTCAGCAGTGCGCATCCACGATCCTGCCCACCGCAGGATTAGAACTCAAGACCTACTGGTTTCGCGTGTGAGCACTTAACCAACTAGACTACTGAGCCGGCATCCAACGGTGTTAATGTCTAACTTTAACCAATCCACGAAGTTGCGCCACCGTATAACCATTGTCTTCAGTAAGCTGATATCTCACAACAGACCTGGTTGAACTCCACTGGTCACTGCTTTTGTCACTAGGACTCCAAGAGTATCTCCTAACTCATGATTTCAAATTGTGAAATTTCTAAACATCTCCACAAAACCCATTCTGATTTTTAAAAAATCAATGCAAAAATCATTTTTTCATTCTTCCGTTTCATTTAACAATTCCATTGAATCAGTTTTATT